ATCAACATCGCCTCAGCCAAACAGAAGTTTCTAGTTGATTCTACAGGTAACAGGGAGTAATTGAAATTTACTGAGTATGACAAGTGACATGGGCAAACTTGCAGTTTAAGAAAATCATTCTGGCCACTGTTTTCCTACTGCCCCTAATCCCCATGATTCTGTCACCATTTGCTGAGAGGAAGAGCCCACGTTCCTCTTAGAATCCCCTGAATTCTCTGCCTTACCTAGTCCTACCTCTCCCTAGTCCCTATGTCCTTTCTGCTTTCCCTTGATTCTAGTTCTTTCCATCTCATTCCCTTTCCATCTTTGGTTCCTTATAACTCTAGATCTGCAATTTATTTTTTTTAATTTTTAGGCAGTTGGGGTTAAGTGACTTGCCCAGGGTCACACAGCTAGTGTCAAGTGTTTGGTCTGAGGCCAGATTTGAACTCAGGTCCTCCTGACTTCAGGGCTGGTGCTCTATCCACTGCACCAGCTAGCTGCCCCCTAGATCTACAATTCTATGGTCATCTGGAGTTGACCATACCTGGATGCCATTAGAAGACACCTCATCCCTCACTGTCTTCTCCTAGTGTAGTTGCTTTTTCTCTCATTCCCCACAAAAGTGAAGTATAAGAGTTAGCATGTTGCTTACTTCTTACTACTAGACTCAACCTTTGCTCTTTTTTTTTTAGACTCATTACCATAAAGAGTACTGCTATAAATATTTTGGCATATATGGAGCCTTTCTTTTAGTCAATGCTCTTCTGGAGGTATATGCCTAACAGTGGAAACTTTGGATCAAAGGGTAAGAACAATTTAATGACTTGCTCGCAAAATTCCAGTTCTCCAGAATGGTTGGACCTTTTCACAGCTTTATGGTGGTTGGTTATTCTATATTACTTCATCTGTCTTCCCATAATTCTTCTAACATTGACCAACGACATTCTTCTAAAGGTGGAGCTATTCTGCTCTCCTTGTGGTGGCAAAGAACTGGAAATTTCGGGGATGCCTGTCAATTGAGGAATGGCTAAACAAGTTATAGCATATGATTGTGATGGAATACTACTGTGCTATAAGAAATGATAAGCTCGATGATCTTAGAAAAACTTAGAAAGACGAAATAATGAAGAATGAAATGAGCAGAACAAAGAGAACATTGTATAGAGTAACAGCAATATTATTTTGAGAACAACTTTGAGTGACTGTCATTTTGATTACTATACATGCCCAAATTAATTACAAAGGATATACAGTAAGACACTATCTGAATCCAGAGAAAGAACTGATAAATAGATGTATAGAGTGATTTTACATAGATATACATATTTCTGTCTAATGGTAGCCATCTCTAGGGTGGGAGTGGAGGAAGGGAAGAAAAAAAGAAATTTACATGCTGACATTATATAAGTGTATATATATATATATATATGTATATATACATATATATATGTATATGCATATATATACATACATACATACATAACATATGTATGTGTATATATATAAATAGCAAGTTATACTTAATAGATTTATAGTTTCATGTGTAATCATTTTTATTATACTATGTTATGGAAATGCTTGTTTCATCCCATAAATTAAAAATAAAATAAATTTTAAAAAAGATAATTTTTTTAAAAAAGGTGGACCTATTGTTGGGTAGTCTTGTGCTCTTTTAGCGCCTCTATACTTATTCATTGTACTGTGGCCTCTGTTATGCTTATTTATTTTTTTCTGCTAATTTTTCCCCCTTGTAAGAGTTTCCTTCTTTTTTCTCCTTTTTTTTCAAACAATTGTCATCATTTTGAGGTGGCACAGGGGAGCTAGATTTAGTGACAACTCTCCTGCCATTTTGAACTCCTTGCCTTCAGTGGAAAAGCCAAATTCCTCTATTTCTGTTGAGGGAACTCTCCAGACAAATAATTAAACATAATTTCTTCCTTTTGGTTGAGATGTGATAGACTACAGGTTCCAAATGTTGCCTGTGCTTTCAGAGTAGTGGCAACACAGGCTGGGTTTGTTTTGTCATTTTATTTGTCAAAAGGAAGGGTTCAGGGCTTAGGAAGAAGGGAGGGGCAGCTAGGTGGAGAAGTGGATAGAGTCAGGAAGACTCTTCTTCCCGAGTTCAAATCTAGCTTCAGATACTTATTAGCTATGTGAGCCTGGGTAAGTCACTTAACTCTGTTTGCCTCAGTTTCCTCATCTGTAAAATAATCTGGAAAAGAAAATGGCAAACCACTCCAGTATCTTTGCTGGAAACCTCACCTGAACAACAAAAGCAGGGAGTTTGTAGGGGAGGAGATTTTATTGGGAAGTGATGTATAAAAAGCAAAAAACAAAAAAACCCCCAATAAAACACTTTCTAGGAACAACAAAACTCCAAAAAAATCCAAACATGAGTTTTTCTTTTCTTTTTTTTGCTTAGGCAATCGGGGTTAAGTGACTTGCCCAGGGTCACACAACTACTAAGTGTCATGTGTCTGAGACTGGATTTGAACTCGGGTTCTTCTCACTGAAAGGTCAGAGCCCTATCCACTGTGCCATCTAGCTGCCTCTGTGAGTTTTTCTTAAAAAAAAAAACCCAGTTGCCTTTCCTTCATTAATTTAGGTTTGATGTTTGATATAGCTTGTACTTACAGATTACTATAATGTTATCTTCTTATTCAGTATATAAGGAAGATTCCATGGACTGTAGCTCTGAGGGCTCTAATGGAATCTTCTTTTTGGATAGGGAGTTTGAGATAAACTCTTCTCTTGACATTTCACTTTCCTGCATTGTACCCCAGACTCTAATTCCCTGAGAACTCCAGGGTTTGACTTTCCTGCTTCCCTGTTACTACCCACTTTTTTCAAAGTTCTCTGTAACTGGAAGTCTTCAAGCAGAGGCTGGATTATCACTTGTGAAGAGGTTTTATAGGTGTTAGTTAGTGGACTTCTAAGATCCTTTCTCACTACAAATCTATAATTTAGAGATTTCTTCCAGGTCTACTAGGAGAAACATACATACTCCCAACTTCTTCCCAGCTAACCTTGCAGTGTTAGCATAGCCTAAAAATGGGCTATGAAGTGGCTCATTTTTAGGTTTTCTAATGTCATTTACTGATAGTAACAGACAAAGGAAATATATTAGGGTTTCTAAAATATGAAATCTTGCCTCAGACACTGGCTATTACCCTAGTCAAATCACATCTCTTCCAGCCTCAGTTTCCTTCTAGCTTTACATCTATGCTCTTATGAATGCATCAGGGAAAAAAATGAGATCTTAAACTGAATTGAGGCACAGTATTGAAGACGTAGGCAACTGTACTCAACCTTGATTAGACTATATTTGGAATACTGTATTTAGTTCTAGGGGCCACATTTTAAGAATATTGATAAACTTGAAATGTACAATGGAGAATAACCAGCATATTAAAGGGCTTCAAGACCAAACTATATCAGGATAGGTTGAAGATATTGGAAATGTTAACCTCAAAAAGAGAAATCTGGCTGGGGGTCGAGGAAGAGGAGGGTCATCAGGTGGAGAAGGGACAACATGCCTTCTGCAGGGCGATTGGGATTGGGAACCACACCATTCTATGCTGCTGGTCCCCTGGGCTGTAATAGCTACCTTGTTGGCAGTGACTTAGAACCAACTGGGTCAAGGCCAAGACCTTTCTCTCCACAACCAAGCTGGGTTGGTCAGAGCTTGGTCCTGACAATTCACCTGTGTCCACACCACACTTCCCAAAGGAACTCCACAACGGATTAATAAGAACCCATTTTCCCCACTCTCAACACCAAAGCTCTTCACATTCCCCCCACCCCAGCCTTCTTTCTTAGAAGTGTTGTCTACAGGCCTTTACATTTTTCTACATTGGTTATGTGTAAGGCAGCTTCCATAAACTGGGAAATATTGAAGGGAATCATCATGGTATAATAGAATGTTGCACAGGCTCTGGAGACTGAGATCCTAGCTTCAAATTCTGCCTCTGACACTATACTGTATGACCACATGTAAGTTGCTTCATCTTCTTCGGTCTGTTTCCTTAGCCGTTAAATAAGGGGTTTAGACAAGACGGCCTCTGACGTCCCTTCCAGCTTAGATCTATGATTCTATGAATTAGTGCAGGGAGCAGCATCTGTGTTCCTTAGTTCAGAGGCAGTTAGCTGGCTCAGTGGGTAGAACACTGGGCCTGGAGTTAGGAATTCAAATCTAGCCTCAGATAATTTGCATGTGTTCAACCTTCTCTCAGCCTCAGTATTCTCTAGTATAAAAAAATGGGAACAACATAATACCTACCCCACAGGGTTAGCACAGTAGTACCTGGCACACAGTAGGCACTTAGTAAGTTATTCCATTTCATTCTAGTACAAGATACTAGTTTAAATTTGAATTAACAAATTATCTTTTTAACCAGTTTTTTTCTCACTCCAAGATCTTATTTCTTTTCATGTTTTGCTACACCAGAACATAATTTCCTGTACTGAAATGCAATTTTTCAAAGAGTCCAAAACTTGAACTCTGAGGGACCTCACTATTTTAAGTGTCATTAGCAACAGGCTTAAAGGAGAGGCCTCATCAACACAAAGGAAATTAGAGTGTTGAGCAACTGTCAAACATAGTTGATAGGTTAGGTAAATGAGGATGCCTGTGGTCAACATGTTACAGTCCCCCCCTCTACAATGGCTAACTCTGACTAAAATAATTTTTTAAATTTTCTTTTTAATTTATTTAATATTTTATTTTCTCCTAATTACATGTAAAACCGAATTTTAACATTCAATATTTCAAATTTTGAGTTCCAAATTTTTTTCCTCCTTCCCTCTATCCCCTCCCCCATCACTGAGACCAAAATAATTTAACTAAGCAGCTCAATGCTCTCCTTGGTCTGTGAAGGCACTATCAGGGAAGCAGAAAGACCTTGATTGCTCCTCAAAGGAGGACATTAAGATCCCTGGGGAAGGCACAATCTATGGGAAACAAGGGCCCCTTAGCACAGCACCAGACAGGATGCTAGGCAGGCAATAAAAAGAATGTCTGAATTTCTATTCTCTTTAATGTTTAGTTTCTACAATAATTACAAAGTTTTGCTTTGCAAAAGACTAATTTAAAAAAGTAGTTAAGCATTTTCTGTTTGATTATTTACATGGAACAATGACTTAGGCAAGTGAGAGTACTTCGGATATAAGAGAATCATTTGATCAGCTGGCAGCCCACTTTAGCATTTAAAGAACAGAGAATTTAACTTGATCTTTCACTTTTTCTCATCTCTAGGACAGGAATGTGACCTGGTTAGTACTAGCCTTGTTGAAAATTTTAAGATGAAGATAGATGTCCAAAGATTTTGAATGTTCAGAAATAAGGTGCTTGTTCAAAGAACTGTTGATTTCTGGTTGATGATGATTTTTCTACAGAATTAACAAATTAGGCACAACTGTATCACAAAACAATTAAGTTCCACTGGAAAGTCTAAGCAAATTTTCTTACAATGTTGAAAAGATCTGATTCTCCAAGATGTAGGCAAACAGTAGATGTGCAAAGTCTCATGTCATAGAAATACTAATAACTTGGGAAACAATGAATCCAGTAGTACCTTTCATCCAAGAAGTTCAGAGTTAGAATCAAGAGATTTCTAATTAACTAAGCAATTAATTAGAACCAATTTCTAATGCTTACCTGATATATAGATACCTATTCTTTACAATGCTAGGTATGGGATTAATATCTTACTTTGAAAAATACTACCAAAAAAGGATTTTGCTCTATTACTTTCAGGGATATATTTTTTACTCTCTGAATCCACGTAACCCAAACCAGAATTCCTGCCTCATATTTAGAGAAACAAAGTTGTTTTTTTTTAAAGCAAGGATTTGTCCATAATCTCAGTTCATTACATGTTTTCCTTTCTTAAATCAGACAATCCTGAAAAGGAAAGAACTTGAATTCAAACTCAAGTACTTGACATGGAAGAAAAGGGGAAACTATTAACATTCTGCTTAATCATCATGTTTGGCCCATTTCCAAGTAGTGTGTCAAGGCTCCAGGGAGCACCATTATGCTCTTTGGGTCAGAAACTGCAAATACTGTCCTCGAATTTCAAAATGATCAGCCGGACGATTATATGCTGTCCAGACAGGTTCTCCAACAAACAGCCTCATCGCCTTAACATAGTTCTAGGAAAAATAGAGAACAAATTATTGAAGTATAGCAACTCTGAATTTGTTCTTTGAAATAAACTAAGATGGGCTTCCTTAGTGTTTTAATCATTGCCGAAAGGGTTCCCCAAAGGACCTCTATTTCAGTCAACAGAGTTGTTGGAATAGAGATGAGCACCCCAGAGGTAATTCTTGGGCTCCTTTTCTGTAGGAAGTTTTTTAGCCTGTTTCAGAACCAAGTTTAGCAGGAACAGAGTACCTAAATCTCAGGTGCTTCCCAGAGACATTAAAATATAGAATCAGAGGCTCATGGATCTGGAGCTAGCAGGGAACTTAGATCTACTTCTAGCGCAAACCCCTTTCCACCCATTTAACAGATGGGGAAACTGAGGCTAGAAAGTGAAAGGAGTCATCCAAGGTCACAAAGGTAATAGGAATTAAGATTCAGACCCAGGCTTCTCTGACTCCAAGGCCAGCACTCTTTCCATTGTACTATCAGTATCTCTGTCCCACCCCCAATCCCCAATTATTGCTAACTATAGAGATTATAAAAATAAGCCAAAGCCAGAAGAAGCAGGCATCAGTCCAAACATGAAACTGATGTTTTGATCCACCTTTCTAATACCCTTTTGAAAGAGTTTCCCTGAGAATCTGTGTTTGCAGGGGAACCCTGAGTTTGGCAGCTGGCAAATAGACACATTCTCTTAGCCTGCTGATAAGGTGAAAAGCAGAAAAAGATGGGGACCAGGAGGGATGGGAATTTTGGAAGTGACACTGATAAATGCAGGTTAGACCCAATTCAATTCAATAAACTTAAATGTTAAAATGAACTGAAAATTTTTAAAAGTGCAAAATATATTTCTATAGACCTATCTCTACTATGCCCTTGGGACCTCTCAGAGGAAATACTGGATAGGGAAGGAACTACCTCAAGAAGCAGTATAACGGACAGAGCACGAGATTTGAAGTCAGGAAGACCTGGGTTCAGATCCCAGCTCACACACTTACTAGCTCAGCTGTGTGACCCTAGGCAAACTACTTAATTTCTCTGGACCTCAATTCCCTCATCTGTAAAATGAGGGTGTTCCATTTGATAGACTCTAAGGACCCTTCTATCTCTAAATCTATGACCATCTGAACTCACTGAGCATGATTTCCTGTTTGTCCACTATTCCATGGCTTGACAATGTTAAGTTATTGCATATTATATCACTGAGGAGCTATATTTTGCCCAGAGAACCAAAGTCCATACAGCACACTATGAATTTTAGTTCAGTTGTTTTCAGTCATGTCTGACTCTTTGTGAACCCTTTTTGGGGTTTTCCTGGCAGAGATACCGGAGTAGTTTGTCATTTCCTTCTCCAGCTCATTTTACAGATGAGGAAACTGAGGCAAACAGGGTTAAGTGATTTGCCCAGGATCACACAGCTAGTAAATTTCTGAGGCCAGATGTGAACTCAGGTCTTCCTGACTCCAACTCAGGCACTCTATCCACTGTGCCACCTGGTTGCCCCTACACATATGAATATATGAAGACAAATTAACTACCGTAAAATAAAGAGCCAAGTTCCAGATTACTAACCTATGCTAGACCGTCTCCTTGGCAAAAAGATATATAAGCCATAAGTAATGCCACTCAACACTCAAAAAACCAATATTTTCATCTGGAAGGTAGAGACAATGCTCTGCTAGGGTTTGTGTCAAAAATTAAAATTTGCATGTTTCACACTTAAAAAAAAATTAGTCAAAATTCTGTACTGTTTCATCCAGAGTAAAGCGATGATAAATCCCAGCGGGAAGTGTTATCATGTCTCCTTTCTCCATGAAGATGCGGATCCACTTGTCTTCTTTATCTCTTACATCAAAGTATCCACTTCCATCCAGGATATAGCGAATTTCATCATCAAGGTGTAAATGTTCTTCATAAAACATCTTGATCTAAAGGAGGAGGGAACTGTTAGTGAAGAATTAAAGATCCAATATGCAAATTTCCAGGGGCTCACCCACAGGCTCCTGCCCTCAAATTACTTGAGGGAAGTGAAGAATTGTAATGAAATGAAAATCCAATCATCCACCATGAATACTGTACTTTTCCAGATTTCCTGCCTCAGGGACACATCATCAATATGACAAGTAGAGAAAGGACTAGGAAAAACTCAAAAGTTGTTCTAATTTTATTTTAATTCAGAACATTTTCTTGAGCTTCCCTCTAAGTTGGGGGTTCTTAACCAAAACTCTAAAAAAAGTATTTTGATAACTATTTTGATATAATTGGTTTCCTTTGTAATTCTATGTATTTTATACATTTAAAAACATTATTCTGAGAAGCGGTCCATAGGCTTCACCACTCTGCCAAAGGTGTCCACAACACAAAAAAGGTTAAGAACCCCTGCTTTCAACACACATAATAAGATAAGGTAACAAGGCAAAGTGCTTAGGCAAAGAAATAAAGAATGACTTACATAACTGGAGAGATAATACACTGCTTATGGCTGGGATTTACAATTTCATAAATATAAAGATTCTACCTAAATTAATGTACAGATTTAGTGCTACCTCAAATCAAACAAACTTAGGCAGCTAAGTGGCATAATGGATACAGCAGCAGCCTCGAGGCCACACGTGGCCCTCTAGGTAGATCTGTGAAATTTGGATTCAGTCAAAGGGCCGAACTTGAGGACCTAGAGGGCTACATGTGGCCTCAAAGCCATGGTTTCCCCACCCCTGGGGTAGAGTGTCAGGCATGGAATCAGGAAGACTCATCTTCCTGAGTTCAAATCCAGCCTCAGACATTTCCTAGATTTATGACCTTGGGCAAGTCACTTAACCCTGTTTGCCTCAGTTTCCTCATCTATAAAATGAGCTGGAGAAAGAAATGGCAAACTACTCCAGTATCTTTGAAAAGAAAATCCCAAATAAGGTCATGAGAGTTGGACATGACTGAAAAACAACTGTATAGATTAGCAATCAAATAACCAGGGAAGATATCTGACAGAGGTATAGCTATACAAAATAGCAATTCATCTGAAGGAAAAGAGCCAGAAATCTCAAGAAAAATAATGAAAAAAAGTAGGGATGAAGAGCCTTTCAAACCTCGAATTATACCCCAAAAATCATTTTTTTCCTGATTGAAACAAAGAAAAATAGAATAGTGGAACATTCTAGATAAGAAAGAATCACAGTATCTATCTAAAACCCAAAGCAAGCAATATAGATATCCTAGAACCTTTTCTAATATATATGGAAGGAAGGAGAAGATGTTCATTTCCCCCACAATTTTTTGATATTGTTTGGGAAAAGCTAACAATATCAATTAGACAAGAGAAAGAAATTCAAGGTTCAAAAACAGGTAAAGAGGAGATATAACTATCCCTTTTTGATGGTATAATGGTTTATTTGGAAAATCCTAGGAAATCAGTAAAGATACTAATCTAAGAAAAAGAACAGATAACTAATCTGAGATAAATAAATAAAGTTGCAGGCCACAAGATAAATCCTCAAAAATGACATGTATTTCTATGTAATAACAAAGCCTTAGAAACAATAATGCAAAGGTAAATCTTATTCCAAATAACTATAAAGCACATAAAGTATCTTGGGATCCATCTACCAAAGCACAAAGAAGACCTGTATAAATTCAATTACAAAGTCTTCCTTGACGAAAGAAAGAATACTTTAAATAGCTGGAGGAGTATTCAGTGCTCATAGCTGGACCCTACCAATATAATAAAACTTACCAAAGTTAATTTACACTTTTAATACTATACCAATCAAATATCCAGGAGGAGACCTTATAGAAATTGATAAAATTAAAACAAAACTCATTTGGAAAAACAAAAGCTCTAGAATAACAAGGGAAATAATTAAAATAATAAGGAATGAAGGAGGAATAGCACTTCCAGACTTTCAGCCATATTAACAAAGCTGCAGTCATCAAAACCATCCAGTATTAGTTTAAAAACAGAGGTAAATCAATGCAACAGAGTAGATAAGGGAGAATCAGAAACAATGGAATTCAATAACCCAGAGTTTGGTAAACCAGAAAACATAAATTACTTAGGAAAGAGTTTAGGAAAGAACTTCAGGGGAAACTGGAAAGCAATCTAGCAGAAATAAGGCTTAGACCAACACCTTACATCATATTCCACCATATACTCTAACTGGATATGTAGCCTTAATGATTAGATTTATAAAAAAATTAGAAGAGGAAGAGATCATATACTTTTCATGGTTATGGATGGGAAATGTTTTCTTAACCAAACAAGGGATATAGGCAATTACAAAAGATAAAATAGATGGCTGATATATAAAACTGAAAGTCCTACACAGATAAAATTAATGCACCTAAAATAAGAAAGAAAGCAGTCAAATGGGAAAAAAAAATCTTTGCATCAAATTTCTCTGATAAGGTTAACATATAAACTTACTATATATGTATACATATAGCCAAAAGCCATTCCCCAATTAGTTAAACGGTCAAAAGATAAGAAGAAACAGTCCTCAAAAGAATTATAAATTATTAACCACATGAAGGAATGCTCCAAATCACTAATAATTAGAAAAATACAAATCAAAACAACCCTGAGGTTTTACTCTATACCCTGAAATTAGCAAAAACGACAAAAGATGGTAATAATTTATGTTGGAGGGGTTGTGTGAAGACAGGCACACTGGTACATTGTTGGTAGAGCTATGAATTGGTATAATATTTTGGAAATCAATTTGGAATTATACAAAGACAGTGACTAAAATATCCATATCCTTTGACTATGAGACTCTGTTAGTGGGCTTATATCCCAAAGACATCACTGATAAAAAGGAAGTACCCATATATATCACCATATAGGTAAATATCCATTCATTGGGGAATGACTAAATAAATTGCGGTACATGAATGTATTGGAATACTACTATGCTGTAAGAAATGATGAATGTGATGAATACAGAGAAGCACAGAAAGATCTACCTGAACTGATGCAAAGCAAAGTAGAGCCAAGTAAACAATATGTACAACTATGTAAACAATGTAAACAAAAACCACTATGTAAACAGAAAGAACTACCACACACACACACACACACACACACACACACACAAAATCAAAAGTGAGTGTTTCAAAATTATAAAGAAGCATGGCTGGAAAGAAGAAATATGAGAAGACACTCCCACTCCACCCTTTCGCAGAGGTGGGTGGTCTACAACTGTTGCATATTACACATATATTCAGACTTTTCCATTATGATGATCTGTTCCCTCTTTCTTTTCTTTCAGTATTTAAAAAAGCATCATTGTTATATGGGATGATTGTCCAGGAGGGGAAGAGATACTAGGGGAAACTATGGTGATAGGAAAAACAAAAGACCTTAACCAAAACTATTTAAAAGAGAAAAAAATTGGGTACCTTTCATAGTTATGACTAAAGAGTGAATTATTAACAAAATAAGGGATAAAGGCAATTACAAAAGATAACAGATAATTGCAATTTAAAACTGATAAATTCTGAACGTGCAAAATTAATGAAATTGGTATTAGAAGTGAAGGAGGTTCACTAGTGCAAATGCATATTAAAAACCTCCTTTTTTTAGATCAACTGAAAACATTAAGAAATAATGTTTTCTCCAGCCTAAAAATGTTACACTTTTGGAAAATGTGTAAGAGGTCAAGAGCAAAGATTAAGGTAGAAGAAGAAACACCACCTACCCTTTTCCATTTAAGAATTAATTTTTTTTTATCACTGAGAGGAAATGCTTTCAGTCTTAGATGGGAATAGTGCACGAAGGTTAGCCCCAAACTGCATTTTAACATACCCTTTCCTTGTTCAAGATTCCTATAAATACAATACAATAATACAATAAACATTTATTAAGCACCTACTATGTGCCAAGCACTGGGCTAAAATGCAGGGGATGCAAATAAGAAAACTACTCCCTATCCTCATAGGGCTTACAATCTAATGAATAAATATTACTTCAAATTATCTTAAGGTTGAGAGATGTCCTAGGGCATGACAGGGCTGCATCCCTTTTGACATTTCTCTAAGTCAGAAATGTTTGGATTTAGAATGTTAAATTAATAAAAATTGTTTCTATGAAATATACCTAAAACAGAGTGGAGTATTAATATTTTTTCTTCTTTGTATCAAATATTCTTGAAAAAGATACAAAATGTAAGATAAAATTAACTTGCTACATAATAAATATATAATCAGAGGTTCACTTGAATACAATTTGAAGTCAGGTATTTTTTATTCATAAGCATACGGAATAAATGTTGGAAAGAAATGGTTATTTCTTGTTTTAAGAAAGCCATATAATAGAAAATTAAATGAAGAATTTCTGAACCCTCTTCTCTGGCCAAAGTAGTCTAGCTTGCCTCCACCTAAAACATAGTTTGTGCTGCTCTCCCCCCCCCCCACCACTGAGCAGCTAGGTGGCATTATGGATAGAGTACTCGACCCAGAATCAGAAGTGGAGTTCAAATCTAGCCTCAGATATGTACTACTTGTGTAAGCGTGGATAAATCACATAGCTTCTCTCTGCCTCAGTTTTCTCATCTGTGAAATGTGGATAATAATAGTATCTACCTCCTGTGGTTGTGAAGATAAAATGAGATAATATTTGTAAAGCATTTTGTGAACCTTAAAAATATTACCCAAATGCTAGCTATTATATAATTTGCTCACACCTTTCTCCAGGCCTAGAATTCTCTCATCAATCCAAATCCTACCCATCCCTTCAAGGACCTGCTCAAGTCCCTACTTTTTCATGAAGCCTTTCTAAACCAATCTAGTTTACAAATAATCTCTCTCTCCTCTTAATTTATGCTACTTGCTATGATCTCTCATGTACCATTACCCACAGCTATACCTTTCTTCCTAAGCACCCTGCTTGAAATGCCAGAGGTAAAATGAGCTGCCCCAATCACACAGGTAAGTTGGTGGCTGCCCTGAGACTTTAACTCAGTCAGATCTCTGGCCTCCTGGTCCACTGCTCTTTCCACAGCCATAAGGTTGTGGGGGGTGGGGTCTCCCTGCACCTCCAAGCTTGAAATGATGAAATAAGAGTAGGAAAGGAGAGCAATAATGGCAGTTTCTGGAAATGCTGTTTTCCCCCAAGGTTTACCAGGGGCTCCATAACCCCACCCTGACTCACTGGTCCAAATGTCTCCCCACATCTAATTCAAGATTTTAGATAAGAAACGGAATACATCCTCTTCACAGAAAGGTAGTCAGCCTCAATTTAAGCTAGACACTATCCCATCCATTTGGCAGTTTAACAGGTGTTGTCTCGTGAAATCCCATATTATTGTAATGATTATTTATCTTTTGTAATATCACTTAATGTTTCACACGTTTATATCTCGTCTGCTTAGAGAGATTATCCAATCTCCATGAGAGTAAGGATCATGTCCTATAAAATCATATAGGTAGGGCTTAACTCAGTAAATATTTTATGGGCTTCTAGCTCTCCCATTACTGAGTTCAAGCCTTTCATTGTACAGATAAGAAAACAGAGTTCTAGGTAAGTCAAGTATGTGACTTGCTCACGGTCACAAGGGTCAAGTCAAACCAAATTTGGACCCAAAGCATCTGATACCAACTTCAGGACTTTCCCCCATTATACCTGTTACTATGTTATAATTGTACCTTGTTCTGGTTCCCCTGACCCTACCCCTACCTGGTGCGCGCATACATACACCATTCTAGTCAGGATAGTAAGTTTTAAAACAGCCAACATAAAGAAATAATATTGTTCAGTCACGTCCAACTCTTCATGATCCCACTTTGAGATTTTCTTGGCAAAGATACTAGAGTGGCTTGCCATTTCCTTCTCCAGCTCATTTTACAGGTAAGAAAACTGAGGCAAACAGAGTTAAGTGACTTGTCCAGGGCCACATTGCTAGTGAGTGTCTGAGGCCAGATTTGAATTCAAGTCTTTCTAACTCCAGGCCTGGCACTCAATGCACTGGGCCACCTAGCTGCCCCATAAAGTAAAAATAGCAGGAAATAAAATTGCAAAGGGGAACCTGGAAGTTGCATGCAAACCATCCCCAAAATCAAAGGTACATAATTTACAAATTGTATCATATATTAACCAAAATTCACACCCTGGTAATATGTGCTAAATCAGGGGAAGCCATCCAGACTTTGCTGTCAGAGTCTTTTGGTCCTATGATACATAATTCTCAGACAAATTCCAGAAGACCAGCAGAACACCAAATGATGTTGATAACTTTGAGATGATGTGGACATGTTAACTTTAAAGTTTTACTGACTACTTTGAGATGAATAGATGTTAATGAGCTAACCCCCAAGGTAGCACAGATAAGAGTTAGTTTGTTCCCACCCAAAACCCTATAAAAATGTGACCTCAAACGCCAGCCCCTCCCCAACCTCCCAGCCCCAGCACTCTCTCATCTCCACAGGGTCGATGCTACAGAGTACTCCTAATTCTAATTCTTTGTTTGTGAGTGATATTCTCTGCCTCCCCTCTTCTCCATCCTCTTCCCCTCCTCTTCTCTATCCTCCTCCTCATGATGTTTGTTTCCACACTCTCTGTGCCTAATTAAAATGTGACTGCTGCTCTGTTTCCTGCTGCCAACAGTGGTCTTTCCCAGTGAGTACCCAAAGAATCAGCCATGCCCGCGCTCATTTCATAATTTCATAAATTAATTATCAATGCAGTTGTATACACTTAGCTGCCCAAAAGCAGAATGTGCTGTCTTGGCAAACTTCATTGGAGGTTTCTCAGCAGGTACTGGATAACTACTTGGGGTATATTTTGAAGAGTACTTTGGGAGCAACATTTCTCAAACTTTTCGATCTCAGGACCTCTTTTCATTCTTAAAAATAGAAGACCTCAAAGAGCTTTTGTTTATATGGGTTATATCTGGTAATATTTGCCATATTATAATTTAAAACTAATAAAATTTTAAAACATGGATTTAATTTCTTTAAAAATAACAAAAAAACCATTACATGTTAACATGGATTACATAGTTTTACAAAAATTAACTATATTTTCCAAAATTAAAAAAAAATTAGTGAGACTTAGCTATTCTCAGCAAAACAATGATCTAAAACAATCTGAGGACCAATGATGAAGCATATTATCCATCTCCAGAGAAAGAACTGATACTGTTTGAATACAGACTGAAGCCTGCTATTTTTCACTTTCTTTTTTTTATTCAAGTTTTCTTGTTCAAAATGACTAATATGGAAATTTTTATATAATTGCACATGTATAACTTATATCTGATAGCTTACCATCTCAGGGAGGGGAGAGAGGAAGGAGAAAGGGAGAGAGAGAATTTGGAACTCAAAACTTTAAATAAAAATGTTAAAATACTTTTAAAAATTTAGTGAGAAGGGTAGCACACTATTTTTCACTTCCTTTTTTTTCTTTTATTTGAGTCTTCTTGTACAAAAATACTGATTGTTTACTATCTCAGGGATGGAGAGATAGAATTTAGAACTTAAAACTTTAAATAAAAATTTTAAAAAATTTCATTCTAAAGGATGTTTTCTGGGAAGGCAAAGGGGAAGAATACGGTGGAAATGTAGGTGATGTAACAAAATTATACCAACAAAGATGTAGTTTTTAATAATTCAGGCTGTCAAGAATCATACTGATTAATTTGTTCAGAAACAACATGGTCTAAGAGAAAGAATTAGAAGCAATTGGGGCAGACTGTGTTATCATGGACCTCCACTAATAAAAGACAAAGGAGCATAGTTGCTCTATGAAAGAAGTAATGGAAAGACTATTTCAGTAGGTGGGCAGTTCCTAAGAAACAAGAAAAAAGTCAGACCAAAAGAACTGAATAAGTCACTGCAGCACTCAGTACATAACAAATATTAGAACTTGGCCAGATCAAAATAAGTAGAAATAGAGGATCAAATCAGTTTATTTACAAAAAGTTTACCATGTCCTTATTTGGATATTTCCTTTTTTCTTTTGCTTATTATTGTTTGTTTATTCTATTTTTTACTGTTATTGTGAGGTTTCAAAAATAACAAGATAAATTCCTACTCATTCAAAAGAAGTCTGGACTTAGTCTCCAGTCCCTAGTAGATTCCCCTCTTCCAAACAATTCCGGATTTCCCTTACCTTTTCTTCATAATTTGGCAGCTTGTCTTTACAAATGGTTATTATATCCATCCAGCAGTAGTTTTTTTCTTTTCGGATCTTCTCTAGCTCTGGGTCATCCTCATACTTGTTAGCATCCAGCTGAAAAGATTAAGAAAACAGCACACTTAAATATTAACACGTTATTCAAAAATTATTTACTGAGTTCCTTCTATGGACAAAATTCTACGTTAGACAATTGGACAAAAACGACCCACATGCACAAAAATATTTTAGCAGCCCTTCTGTGGCGGCAAAGAATTGGAAATTGAGGGGATGCCCATCAACTGGAGGATGGCTAAACAAGTTATGGTATATGAATGTAATGGAATACTATTGTGCTATAAGAAATGATAAGCAGGAGGACTTCAGAAAAACCTGGAAAGACTTATATGAACTGATGCTGAGTGAAATGAGCAGAACCGGCAGAACACTGTGGCAACAGCCACTCTGCGCAATGACTAACTTTAATAGACTTAGCTCTTCTCAGCAATGCAAGGACGTAAGACATCTCCAGAGGTTTCGTAATAGAAAATGCTATTCACAACCAAAGACCTATGAAGTTTGAATGCAGATTGAAGCATACTATTTGCTTTTTTTTTCTTCTTTCTTGTGGTTCCTCCTATTGATTCTAATTCTTCTTTACAACATGACTAATGTGAAAATGTTTAATAAAAAAAGATAATTGGACGTAATAGGGAATGCCAAAATTAATTTGACACTACAAAAACCTGCTGTTTATTCTAGTTAATATCCATATTACCTGGTGAAACTGCCAGCAAGTTAGCTTGGGTAGCCTCAAAATTTCTCACATAGTCAACCAACTAATTGCTATGCCAAGTACAAGAAAAAAAAATTGGATAGAAATTAGTTCATAGAAGTCCATGTGCTAATTAGTTATTTCCAACTGCACAGTGGGCTAAGTAGATGGCTTAGTCTTCCTGATGGTAAAAGGTATGTAACACTGGAAACTGTTCTGTCTGAAGTAGGTCTAAGATGAAATTTAATAGTATCACCACTCAAGGTAGGAGGGCAATTGTCAGGGATTACAGCAGCCTTGCTAGGTGGCTCAGTGGATAGTGCTGGGCCTGGTATCATGAAGACCTGAGTTCAAATTCCACCTCACACAGTTACTAGTAAGTCACTTACCTTCTCAGTTTCCTCAACTATAAGATAAAGATAATAACAGAATAATAATGCTGTTGCGAGGATCAAATGAGATATCTGTAAAGTGCTTAGCACAGTGTCTGGCACTTAATAAATAACTGATTTTCTTTCTTCCTTCAGCTTCTTGGACTGAGCACATAATTCATATGACTCACACTAAGATAGTGGAATGGCTTGCCATTTCCTTCTCCAGTGGACAAGTGGATGCTTTTGGCAGGCAAGCAAAGGTTGGGTGACTCACCCAGAGTCACACAGCTAGGTTGTGTCCGAAGCTTGATTTGAACAAAGGTCTTTCTGACTGCAGGCCCAATGCTCTGGCTACTGAGCCTCTGGCTGCCTCTGGAAGTAGCCTATATATTTGGAATTTGGAATTTCTACCTTTTTATTATCCTCATTGGGATTTTGGTATTATTCAGCTGTTTTCAATCCTCTCCAACTCATCATGACCCTCTTTGGGGTTTTCTTGGCAAAGATATCGGGTTAGTTTGCCATTTCCTTCTTCACCTCATTTTATAGATGAGGAAAGTGAGACAAACAGAGTTGAGTGATTTGCCCAGGATCACAGAGATAGTAAGCGTCTAACTCCAGGCCGGTGCTCCATCCGCTGCACAATCTAGCTGCCCCTGAGGACTATATTAAAATTACGCTAAATGAAAAAAAAAATCATAGCCAGAAGCCAGTGACAAACCAGGTACCTGAATAAATCCCCAGGACCTGTCACTAGGCTACACTAAAAGAAAGAGGGTCTTGCTAGGAGTATATAGAAACAAGCAGAAGTGCAATTAGCATATCTGTGACCAGCCTTCCCCTGGTGCAGACATCACGCCTGCTTGGAGAACGGACAACCAGCTAGTAGAAAACTGTCCCTTGTCTGCTACTCCTGGATCAGTCCCAGTGACTCGAGATGAGGTCTAGCAGATGCAAATATTATAGCACAGAGAAAGGCCTGTCAGCATGATTGATCTACCAGGTGTCCAAATTTGGGTTTTTGTAATAGCACATTTGGCTGCACTTGAGATGCCTGAGACTATAGGTGAATAAAAAGTTGAACCTACAGGAAAAACATTCCCTAGTGTACCTGGCATTGATTTAGTACCTCCAGGCAGCCAGCCCAAGAGCTTAAGGCAGACAACAGCCTGATTTGGTCAAACTCTAAATTCATTTCTATCAGAGAGGTTTTCTGATCTCATTAGCCAGATAATTGGAACAACAATCCTTTCTGGATTGTTCTTGGGCAGAAGCATCCAGAGGATCATACCACCATAGCAACATCAGTTCAGTTCAACTGAATGCCCATTATGTATAAGGCACCATGCTATATGCTAGGAGAAAAACAAAAAATACAAAATTAAATCCCTGAAGGTAGTCCTTGACTCTGAGCCCAGTATACTAACATGATTATACACGCATAGGGTCAGATGCTAAAAGAAAATAAACCAACATATGAAGACACTGAGTACTTACATCAGGTACAAATCAAAGAAAAATGCAAGTCACTATACAATCAATCACCTTGATAAATCCGACAGTATAATCCACTTTTACCTCATAGTACTTCAAGACATAGGCTTTCTAGAAGGGAGGGTCAGTACTCCCTCCACTGATCTAGATCAGGAAGGGATGGTGAGGTTTGTCTAGCCCAATCCCCCCCGCCCCCGCCGTTTTTCACATGAGAAGTTTAGTAACTAAGCCAAGTTCACATAGGTAAATAATACAAGATTCAAGGCTAAATTCTCTGATGCCAAATCCAGTGAACTGTTCACTGTACCACTCTGCCTCTGAAACCTGTCTAACTTTAGAAGTGCTATGGTCATATAATAAGTGTTCTAAAAACATGCATGCCTACGTATGGTCAAAATGGGTTTTCTCCTGAATTGTCTACGTTGTCTATTGTGAGATAATTCTGCTAGGATGTTTCCAACATGTGGAATTAAGAAAATCTCTGGACCAAAGGAAGGGTATTTCTTTCCTGGGTCAGCAGAAATGGGGTGGGTCTGAATTGGGAGGATACCAATCACAAGCCAAAGGCACATCTTTTCCACCTGCTGAATACTGACAGCCAAAGTATTGAGACTGGAGGATGGAGGGAAATTGATTGTCAGTGAAGAGGTGAAATCCATGAAATCAGTTATCAGCCAAGGAAACCAAAATGCAGAGAGTTGACCATCTAGTCATCTATTCATCCTATTCAAATTATTTTTCCAAAGCTGTGATTTCTTTACCGTGGCTGTGTGGCTTCCCCATACAATGTGCTAGTGTGGTCAGGGGGAAGGTCAGTCAAATTGCTTGCCAAGCCTCTTCCTAACCCAGTTGCCCTTCTAAAGCAATGAACACACAAACTCATCTCATAAGATCTCTGAATTTTTCACTGTATCTGAGTCAAAATTTAATCTACAAAATTCTCAAAGGTCTTGATTCCTCCATAGGTGATGCCTGTAATACCCAAAGACATGATAGTCCAATTTCAAGAATGAGAAACTGATAAACTGTGGGATGAGAGATGAGAGTATACAGAGAGAGACAGTATAAAGATAGGAGACAATGGGGGAAGAAAGGAAACTGTCATATATTTACCTATAGTGATAGGTAGGCCAGTCCATGGGTAGATTGACTTTAAATGCAAAAGGTGATTTGGCATGTAAAGTGGCTTCACAGCCTGTTGTTCTTTGTCCTTTGTTTTTGAAGAGGACCAATGACACAACAGGGTGATGTCTTGACTCTCCCCGTGAATTGGATTTAAGTGAGGCAGAGTTTCACAAGTTCTTATAACTTGTACCTTACCTACCTTTCCAGTCTTCTTACACCTTACTCTCTTAAATATACTCCCTGACATGCTTGCCTTACACATAGCACTGTATCTCCTGACTCCACGTATTTAAGTTGGCTGTCCGCCATGTTCTAGCTTTCTTTAAAACAGCTCAAATACCACTTTCCGCATGAGGCAGGAAAGGTCCTGTTCTATGCCCTGCCTCCCCACAACCCCTAGTCCCTTTCCCTCTAAAATTACCTTCCATTTAAATTAGATATATCTTATACATATACAGTTATATATATGTAAGTTCCTTGAGAGCAGACACTGTGTTTTTCCTGCTTATTAGACTGAAGTGCCTGGCACACAGAAAAGAAACGACGGAAACAAGAATTTTTAAGAGATGACTATGTGCCACACACTGTGCTAAGAGCTTTATGCTGTGCCATACAGCTGCCTCTAGTAGGCACACAGTAAGTGCCTTAACATAATAACTACTTGCTAACGGATTGAGAAGAACACTGTATCTGGGCAGCTGAGGCGGGCTACATGGTGCTCTCAAAGCTGCATGGGCCCTCCCCCAACATGCAACTAGCTCCCAGTAGGCAATGTACTCGTAGGGATACTTCAAATCTAGCTGGGGACTAAAGTTAGAACTTGATTTATGAGTAGCCTCATCCACCTAGATTTGTTCACCTGGGATGGATCTATCCAAGCTCTGCAAAACCAATCTACCACATCAAGGGTGGTTATTATTCAGTTGTTCTCAACTCTTCATGACCCCATTTGGGTGGTTCTTGGCAGAGACACTGGAGTGGTTCGCCATTTCCTTCTCCAGCCCATTTTACAGATGAAGAAACTAAAGCCAACAGGGTTAAGTGACTTGCCCATGATCACACAGCTAGCAAGTATCTAAGCCAAGCCAGATCTGAATTCAAGAAGATAGTCTTCCTGATTCCAGGCCCAGCATTCTAATGCACCTAGCTGCCCCTACCAGATCAAAGATATTTTATACCAAATTTTGACTCAGGGCCCAAAAGGAGTTGATAGAGTGTCACAATCCATTGTTCTTGCAGGAGCCATCAAAAGTCAAGTGCCTAAGAGAATGTAAACTCCTTTTTCCTTTGCATTAGCCCTTTCTCTCCTGACCCTAACACAGTACCTAGCACATAAGAGATCAACAAAT